GCTAGTCTTTAGATACTTAGAGCTAGTCTTTTGATACTTTTAGCTAGGCTTTTGATACTTTTAGCTTTTGACTATCATTATGATACCTTAGTTTTTAGTTAGCCTTTTGCCATTTTTACTATTTAGTTAGCCTTTTGACATTCTAGCTAGCATTTTTTTTTACTTTTAACTAGCATTTAAGATAATATGCTGCTTCTTTTACCTCTAACAACTCATTTTCTGCTTCTTCAGCAAATATTAGCAAAGTCATTCAACACGCAGCATCCACGCTGTATTTTCCCAGAACAAGTAATTTCTCCAGTTTAGCTTCAGTCCCAGCCTAGACCAATGCATCTGAAAACATCAACCTTAACCTTCTATGTGCAATTAAGAACAGGCCTATTTGCTGGAATCCACAGACATATAATCAAACTGTCAGTGGGAGAGTAAATGTATTATTGTATCACCTTCTGCAGCTGCAACAATTAGCAAAGCTTTGTTCGGCTTTTTCCCTCTAATTGCAGAGGTAAAAACCTTTGTTGGTGCTGATGGATCGCTCTGTGAACTTATCCAGAGTAAATACCGCTTGTAAAATAGATAATTTTCTTATTTTAATTAAGAGTTTCTGAGACCAAGATGAACTGGTCACCTGTTTTGCACAAGAGCAACAAATAGACTAGAAATCTGATGAACTCCTAAAGCTGAGAAACGAGCCAGCTGATGGCATAATGTATCAGATACGTGATTAATAGATTTTTTTCATCAGAGGTTTGTGCAGGGTGAGTGCGACATGTTTCATACCAGGCCGTCGGAGCGGACAGCAGGTCTGTGCGGATCTGGTCGGGCAGCCTGCATCTGGGGCAGCATGACGGGCTTTGACATGACAGAGGCCATCTGACGTCTCTGGTTGGGGGGACTGGGAGCCAGTTGCTATTGGTGAAAAGCCATGTTTCCAAGCAACAAATTTACAAAGCTCATCAAGTGATTCCAAAAAAAGCAGGAGGTTGACATGATTTCCACAAAACGAGGCTCACCAGCTGACTGCTTGTGTTGGAAACACGGCTGGCATGGGAAGTATTTCTCATCACCTAAAACACAACGGAGCTTTCAGGCCTCTGGCACAAACCGAGCGCAGCTAGAAATATCTGAGCAGCACGCACCCAAAACCTATTTTATTTTCTTAGATATTACAGCAAGGCGTCTATTTCAAAGGCATCGGAAAAATAAACCTAAAAAAGTAAAACCATGCTCACTTCTGCAAACCACAATCCAACAAATCAAATCAAGAACAACCTGCTGTCATGCCGATAAAACATTATAAACACTCCAGTGCACAACAAACATACTACGATAAATGTCAGTTTTGTAAGATGTTGAGGTTATGATAAAAAATATATATACATTCTCTAAAGAACTGCATATATATATATATATATATATATATATATATATATATATATAT